GGCACAGATAGCAGTGTTAGAACTGAAGAAAAATGTCTTCGACACCACCTGGGACCCTTCTCCCTCTCCCCAGGAGCCCACTTTTTCTTCCCGGCCTGCGCCGGTAGGATAGACGAGGAAGGGAGTGAGGGGAGGGGGGAGTAGTGAAGCTTCAAGGACAGCCGGGGAGGGAAGAAAATCGTCCAAATTTCCTCCTCCTCCTGCCTTCCCCAACTTCCCCCTTCCCAGGAAATCGCCCTTGATCCGCCTATGGTTACATTGGAAGCGATTTTCCCCCTCAAACAGTGCAGTTCCGGAAGTTCTAATTTTTATTAGTAGCAAGCACTTTTTGGAGTTTTGAAGTGAATTAGCGAATCAAGCAAATTTACTAATAACGTAGTTTCATTGCTCCCTGCAAGTATATCTACATAGAAATTCGGACACTCCTATGAAAATTCGTTCGTCGCTGCAGTTTGTGCCACTCATATCCTGTTGTTTTTATTAAATAAAATGAAGCATGCTAAATGTAATTGAGTCAAATTGTTGATGAGGGAATAACCAAAAATTGCATGTGTATGTGAGATGTTAAATGGGAGAGGTGAGAATTGGGGTTTTTTAAGGAAATTGAGGAGAATGGAGGTAATGATTAATCCGCCCGCAAATTCACCCCTCGCCACAAATTACTTGAGTGACAGGAACATGAGCAAAGGTTCAAGACGAGATGTATCTGCATCGCTAAGAACTCTGTGATAATGCGATAGGATGTCTTTTTTTTCTAGTATATTTAAGAAGTTGAAAATTAAAATCTAATCTCCGTCCCTCTCCTCTCCCGCTCCTCCCCTCCTCCGCCTTCCCAAGAAAAATATTATGTACAGGGGACGAAGTAGCTGGATTGATAGCAGATTGGAATTGCAACAAATCGTCTACAAAGCTGTGGACGGCTTCTTCTTTCGAGGGTTCTTTTAGAGTATGGGGAACTGATGCTTCTTATATTCGGACGAGTTTTTCAGTTTTTTTAAAAGAATTGTTAAATTTATAAAAAATTATTTACAGATCAACGTGGACTACACGGAAGAAGAGGTTAAACTAAGCAATTTTCCACTAAGTGCTGCTTTGACATGTACAAAATTGACATCTGCTTTTGAGGAACTATGGAAAGTGGAAGAAACCTAGCTAATATATTAAATGATTTGTTGTTTTGTTGAAATGTTCTGTTGTAAAATAACTTGCTAGAAACAAGCAGACGCAAATACTTGTCGTCATGTCTGATTTTTTTTTTTAATAAATATAATTTTTATAGCACTGTTGTGTAACGGTTTTGCTGAGATTCAGACAAGCGCTGAGCGCAGCTATGCCAGGCTTTGCTGGCCACATTTGGGACTAAAACGTTAGTATTTTGGCTCTTCTACGTTAGAAGAATGTGGCCAAAATACTAATGCTAGTCCTGACAATTGCTGGTCTTACTTTACCAGTTATGGAATACCGTTTTTTTAAGGAAAAAAGAATCCTTATATTAACATACATACTCTTCGATATGTCGACGATATGCTTGTTGACTTCAATAGCACAGCAGATTTTTTATATTTGTTAATAGTGGATTCAGTAATAAAGAAAAATAAAACCGAGAATTATATGTTACACGAACTATCCAGAATTTTAATCTTACCTTTTCCTCTTTTTTTAATTTTAACTGATTTATTAATCTCATTCTTTTATTCTCTACTTTTCAAGCTCTTCAATATATCATCATTTATTATAATCTTGCTTATTTAAATTTGTTTCATATATGGCGAGTCTACATTTACAGCTAAGGGATGAAACACAGACTGCAAACTGGCCTGGTTCTTTCGAACATGCTCGCATCCAATGCTCTGTCTCCATTTACAGCTGAGGGATGAAACATAGACTGCAAATTGGCCTGATCCTTTCGAACATGTAAATCTACAAACACCTTGCTAGATATTTCGGCCGACCATCTGACCTTGGTCATTTCGGTGGTCTTCTATTGCTGCTGAGTGGGTTTTTTTATTGGAGAAGCGGAAAGTGCGGGGAGGAGGGGAGCGGATCGAGCCTCATTCTAGTGCACTTATTCGTTTGTCGGCAAATTGTCGACAAAACCCTTATTGTATGCGTATTTTTATTGTCGGCTGACACTCGTACATAATTGCAACACTATTTATTAATTTCTGTTGTGGAAGGGGACCATTCGCCTCACCGGCCATATGCCATCACCGGTCACGCTGCTCTCCTTGTCCCATGGAAAATCACTTCCGCTGCTTTCCACCTGTCACAGAGCACCGTTCACAGCGCTTTTGCACTTTTCCCATGCTTTTGCTAATGCCTTTCTCATTTGTACGAATGAAAGGGCACATGCATTTTGCCGATGGTTTGGTTATGGCTGAGGGTGTACGTAAAGAGTTTTGTATCTGTGTTTTGTATGTGTGTGTGTGTATGTGTGTGTGTGTGTGTACATGTGTATCTTTTGTGTGTGCATGTGTGTGTATGTATGTGTGTGTTTGTGTATATGTGTGCGTGTGTGTATGTGTGTGTTTGTGTGTGTATGTGTATGTATGTGTGTCGTCTTCCTGTAAGTGCAATGTACGTTTTTATATATCAGTGTTTTAGCATGTGCGTTTATGTACGTATTTGTCTGTGTGCACATGAATGTTTGGGGATTCAGGTGTGAATTATCATTATGTTATTTTTAAATGAAACTACTGTTTCTTACGAGTTTCTTCCATGAAATCCTTGCTTTTCTGAGTTATGTGTACATGTGTGTGTTTTGTGTATGTTTGTGTGCGTCTGTGTGTATGTATGTGTGTCATCTTGTAAGTGCAGTGTACGTTTTCATGTATCAGTGCTTATACATGTGCGTATATTTCTGTGTGCACATGAATGTTTGGGGATTCAGATGTGAATTATCATTATGTTATTTTTAAATGAAACTACTGTTTCATATGAGTTTCCTTCATGAAATTCTTGCTTTT